TAATCAGTACTTCCACTTTTACCAGAGTATTTTTTAACACAAGTATCTGTACTTTTACTCAAGTATGGAAAGTGAGTACTTTTGCCATCTCTGCCAGCGGCATATACTAAGGTTCTAATCAAACAATTAAATAAATTATAAACAAATTGATCATTTTCAGGCCTGAAACTGTATTATTTTAGTCTAACAGATTGATTCTTTTGAAACCTTTATTACATTTATAAAAACTAAAAAAATAAAAGATTTTTCCAAAAAGCTTTCTGGGTATTAAGACAACCTGGGAGAAAAATAACTGTCAAAATATAGCTGATCAGACATTAGGACAGAACAGAGCTACTGAAACTTTAACTGGGAGAACCACGTTTCTCTAAGTTTAGTTTGTACATGGATGACTAAATGTCTAAGGATGGCCTGAGGAGCACTTGCAGCTAAAGAGTCACATCAGGAAAAGTTAAATACATATAATTAATCAGGAGAATTGGGATACAAGTTTACTTAAAGGGATAGTGGAGGATTTTCGCAAGTTTTTGAAAAAACCCGCCCTCTCCACTTATGGATAAAATATGCCGATGCACAACCCTGTACCTCCTGAGAGGGAACGCCTATTAAATGTGCACCAGAGCGTGCACGAGCCCATTTCTCCTCGTGCACGCTCTGTTTAAAAGTTACTGTTTGCATATGAGCTCACTTTCCAAAAGAAGATTTGCAATTTTTCCACTATGTCAGACTCTTTCACTTTCAGTAAGTGAAAACGGGGGCGAGTGTTAGGTTTATTCAATGATGATTATAAAATTAATGTATGTACATATTAGGGATGCACGATATTGGGATTTTGGCCGATATCCAATATGCCGATATTTTAAAACCCATGTAGCTGATAACCGATACCGATACCGATATTAAAGCTGGACAAAAATAAGTAGTCATTGAAAATAGCAGTTTTGTTATCCATTTCTGACACTTTGAAAAATAATATACTCAAATATATTTTCATATGCTGATATCAAATTGAGTTTTAAAAGATAATTAGAAGAATTTATTGATAAGAAAGTATAGTCTTTGGTG